TTTCATCCGAGTACCCTATTAAAGGCTCAGCCTTATGCCCAATGGTGTTTTAGATTCTTGTATTTTCTCTGGTTATCAACCGGTTAGTGTTGTAGATAGTTGTATTTTATTTGGTTATTGACACTAAGTTTTGTTTTTTTATGGCATAATGACTTAAGAAGAGCTAGATTTGTTGTTTTTATGCAATTTACTTCACTGCAAGTTGAAAACAGGGGTAAAGAGAAAATTACTAGATCTAACTGAAGTGGAGATTAAATTAAGTTCATGTTGGTTTTTGAAGAGCTTTAGTGGATGGTATGTCATGAGTCAAGGAGATACTGCTATGATTTGCTCCTTGGTGGATAACTTTTAAATTTTTTTTCTTTTTCTTTCTTTTTATCAAAGATAATGTTTTATATAACAAATAAATTATGTTGATAACATAATCAAAATCATTTTATATTTGGCAGGTGACCCATGGCACCTAAAGATACAAACCTTTTATAAGGAAATAGATCTATTATTTGTCATACTTAAAGTTTTCAATTACCATCACATAAAGTTTTCAAGTACCATCACAGGTTAGTCACCATCTTAACTTGATAGCTTGCCATGGGGATAGGGTAAATGATGGAAGTTTGTGGGGCTTGCAACATAAGAACAAAAGATTGGGTATTATCAATTCAGTCTAACCTGTTGGAATTTTGACTATGGAATCTTTCTTATGAGGGCAAGGTTTAAAATTTAGCAAGGTATGGTAAGACTTTTTTTTATTGACTCATACACCAATATGTTCTTCTTCAATTCAGTCTAACCGGCAGTGGGTTTCTCTTTTCTGTTTTAATTTTTATTTTTTTCGAAATTGTGCTTCTTCAATACTAATTTTGGTCTATTTCCACATTATAGATGAAGGTCATGAAGCAAGATGGCTGCCTAAAGGTCTTGTTCTTTCATCTCCTGCTTCGTGTGTGATGTGTGAATGTTCAGAAGTTGAAAGTATAGATATATATATTTTCATCATTTGGTTCACAAATTTGTTTGATTCCTCTATACAAAAGTTATGATTATTTTTCTGAACAAAAGAAACATTCATAACTATGTCCTGACAAGGATGAGGAACAACGATTAGTACAATAAAAGCAATTAAAATTATTCTTTTATTTTGTTTTAGATATTCTCTGTTTTAAAAGAGTGTTTTTTGTGAGTGTGAAGAGTTGAACAAGTATTGGAAGTTGTTCACATTGCAGCCAATAAAAACATTGTTCCTGTGCCATGTTAGTCTTGTGGCGTCACAATGGGTTTGGGACAGGTAGTTGTTAAATTATATTTCATTAGTTATGTGAACTGATAACCTGAAAGTGCTAACATTGAGTTCTAGATTGAATAATCATTGCCGTTTTTATGAAAGTGGTGCACAACAAGCTGTAGGAATACAATTCAGGCGTTAAAACCTAATATGGCTCAGTATTTTTTTTCTTCCTTCTGCTGAAACTTAGATCCAGGTCAGCCTTTTTTATTAATGATAAAATGTGACTTCTCTTTGTTACTTTTTGATTTTCAGGTTTCTATTGTTGTAGGATAAAATTGGGAATAGCATCAAGAAATGAATATCTCTATTCTATTTGTTCTTACATAAACCCCTCTAAATCAGGTAATCCCAAAAAGTTTTTTTTTTGTGAACATTTTATATGGATTTTAGTTTTGTTTCACTCTCAATCTTGATATTTTTTTCAGACATGAGAGAGGAGAAAGTCTATGATTGCAAGCCCTAAATTTCAACTTAAAGGTACATCTTTCTTTCAGATCACATTATCAAAAGATATAAAATGAAAGCAGGATCTTTTTGGTCATTCTTTTGCTAATTATCAGTTTTGTTTTAAGATGGAAGGGTATTAATGTCAAAACACTAACTTATTCTTTTTTTTTCTTTTTGTAAATTTATGTTTAAGGTATTGGTTAGTAATGCAGTGATGATTAGATTTCTTAATGTGAAGCTTTAGATAGAATGATTTGTAAAAAAAACTTGGGATCCCTACAGAAGTACAACAACAAGTAAATTCTTTACCTTTAAAATCTTTATACTTTGATGATTTTATCATTCATGCGGCTAAATTTGTGATGAACAACTAAAAATTGATTAAGATCTTTCTAAAAGGCAAAATGGTCATTTTTTGGTTATTATTAAAGATACAGGTTTATTCTTGGTTTTATGGTTATGGATTGATACATAGAGAAAAAGAAAAGCAAAAGGAGAAGATATCAAGGGATTTTTAAAGGAGGTTGGATGTTTTGGTACAAAAAATGGATAGAGGGCAAAATGGTCTTTTTTGGAGTTTGTCAAAAATAACAGGATCATTTTTGTTAGAAGTATCCATCAAGATTATGGATAGCTCATGGGTAAAGTGGAATGGTTTAAAAAAAATTTAAAAAATGGTGCAATAAAAACAACAAATTGTATTTTGATGATTATAGGATTTGGCATATTGTTTTTTTTTGTTATTGACATTTGCGATTGGCTCGAGAGGAAGGGATAATGCATTTTTAAAATTTTATGGTCTTTTGGATATAGATGGTAGCAAAATTTTGGTTTTTATTAATGTAAGAGGCTTAAGGGGTGTACTATTTGCATCTCCAATTTTTTTGATGTCCGGTACCAAAGGTATTTGAAGTGGAAAAATTCAAAATTTGATTAACATTCTCCTTTACTCTTGCAAAGATAATGTGATGATTATTGGAGGACATGGAAGTTTCAATTTAACATTTGCAAGAAGGAACTCTTGAACAAAATTGTCATTTCCATGAATTTTAATAAATTTTGAATTGAAGGAATTTCTTTTTTCGGTTCAATCCCGAACATTTTCGTTGGTTGGCTTTGAGTTTTTTCCAAAAAAAAAATCTTTTTTCGGTTCAATCCCGAACATTTTCATTCGTTGGCTTTGAGTCCCCCCCCCCCCCCCACCAAAAAAAAAAGAACAAAAAACAAACACAAAATGATCATTTGGTATCCTTTAAGCACACTTATATTTTTAGTTAATTCTTATTTTAGCTACATATTTAAATTTAATGTTTAATAAATTAATCTGAAAATAAGAAATAATTTATCCAAAATAAACAAAAATATGACAATTGACAACTTATAAGTAAATTAGTTATACATGAAATATACACATATATTAAATATACTTTAATGATTCGTGATATTTTTTTTTTGATATATTTACGACATGCATATAAAAATAAAAATAAAAATATTGATGGGAAACTAACACCTCCTCCTTAAAAATACTATATTTGTCTCATATTTGTTGTCAACTTTTGATTTTTAAAGTCTTTATTGTTCAACTTTAATCTTAAATATGTTTGTTTTTTGATCTATAATATTTGATGGAGAATATATGAATGGATTGTGTTTTACATGTCTTTTCATTGTTATAAGTTTCATCGAGTAATATATAACACAAATAAAAATATTTAAGGTCAAAAATTAAAAAATAAAGGCTTGAAAAGTCAAAAGTAAATTGTAAATTTGGAACATAAAGAGTAACAATTAATAGTTTATATTTGACTTAATTAACATTTTAAATTTTTTTATTTACGACTTATTATTTTTGTTACATCCATCTTATCACCCAATACGTCTTCTTTTACTACAAATTTGTAAACAATCTGAACTTTTCATTTTTATTCTTACTAATTTCGTATAATGTTACCATAACTTTTATTGATCATTGTTAGATTTAGTAAATTATTTGCACAAAAAAAACTATTTCTTCTACAAAGTAATTTTGAAAAACTATTCACACCCGTCGCTTGGCGCGGGTAAACGGCTAGTATATATTATATATATATATATATATATATATATATATAATATATATATATATATATATTATAGATATATATATATATATATATATATATATACACCGTTTGAAATGATAAATAAATATTTATATCAAGAACTAGTTATAACCGTAAATAACGCTAACAAAGTCGTAAAAGCCCTCATTACATGCCACGGAAAAATGCATGACAATATTGTCGTGCCATGTGTAACAAACAAAGCATAAATGAGAGAAACATATCACAAACCTTTTCATCTTTAATTCCATACCATTCTGTTTGTTCATACACATAATGAGATGCACACATTCTTGAGCAAATACACATGAAATACATCTGAATCAATGAATTGTGTATGTACCGTAGATATGGTGTCACCGGAAAGGAACAAATAGGTTTTTGCAATGCTAATTGTAGATGATTGATTCGAACATCATTAAAGTCTATAAGTAGCCAACGACTCTCTCTCTCTCTCTCTCTCTCTCTCTCTCTCTCTCTCTCTCTCTCTCTCTCTCTCTCTCTCTCTCTCTCTCTCTCTCTCTCTCTCTCTCTCTCTATATATATATATATATATATATATATGTGTGTATAAAGACGAGACCCTCCTCGTCATTAGTGAGAAAACACTTGCTAAGGGGGTGTTTGACAAATGAGTTTGTTAGCTTATTACAGGTTCTACATCGCTATAAGCTAAAAAAATGTTCGGATAAAAAATAGCTTATAGCGGTTACAAAGTACTAATAAATCATTTTTCATAAATTAACTCCTTCTAACCACTTAGCCTATAAGCTAATAAGTCATAATTATAGGCTAATAAGTCATAAGCATTTTTTGCCATACATCCCCTAAATATTTTGATATATTAGAGAACTCATTATTGTTCCATTCATATTCATTTTATGTAAATCTTTTCGGAATCAAGCTTATTCTCAAATTTATATAAAAGGATATATAGTTAAGATCATTGAAGTTTCGGTTTATGAGGGAAAAGCTTCACTTTATGAGGGAATCATGAAATTAAATCATGTATATTATGCATATAATGTTTAATTCCTTGATGCTAATATACCCCAAAATGACCCTATGGGAAAAGGTGATAAAAGTTGAAGGACTTGAAATGAAAATATTGGAATATACGAAGAGAAAAAGGAATAGAGAGGCTCTCTCTCTCTTTTATGACTTATGAGCAGTGGGAAATCCGCACCAAAATCAACAAAAAATCAATCGGCAATTTGGCATGATCTTCTGCTGTTTCTCTCTCTGTAACCACTTCTGCTAAAGGTAAACCAAACGATCGCATTTCCCTTCAATCTTCTTTACACAAATTCATTTCATGTTCATGTTCCTTTTTCTTTTTTTTAATCATCAAAATCGATAATCGTTTCTCACTGACGAGGGGATCTTCTTTTGCGGGAAATCTTTTCGTTCTGCTTTTTCTATGAAATATTATAGAGAGTAAGAGAGAGAAGGAAAAAGAAATGGGTCGGCTGTTTGTGGTAACTCTCGATGGGAGCATCTACAGCTGCAAGCATTGCAAAACCCATTTAGCCCTTTCTGATGACATCATATCTAAGGTACACTCCCAATTCAAATGTGTTTTTATCAATTATGCGTATGTGATCAACAATGTGTGCGTCTGTTTATGTGTATGAGCAAACGAAATGTTATGAATTCAACATGAAAATGGTTTCCCCTTCTTGTAAATATTCGTTTATATCTCTGTAACGTTTTAGGGTTCTACAATTTTTATAATCTGATAGAACTTACTCTAGCAAGATGTTAGAATTTTACTTTATTGTTTCTTTCTTTTTAGGGTTAGAAATGTTGATTTAAGCATACATATGATCTTGATTGTTATGGCTATTTGGTTTGTATTAATGTTAACTTCTCATGGATCACCACTCACCACTAGTGAAGAAAGATACCCTAAATAATAAAATACCCTAATTTTCTTATCTCAAAATTGAAGAGTGTAATCACACTATGTCAACATGGCATGGATTTTTTGACCTAAAAATTCATTCTTTTAGTTGTATTTACTATTTAGTTTGCCATTTTTAGTTGGTAATTTCATTCAAATCAAAATCTTTTCATATCCCTTTGATTTTGTTTCACTTTTGTTTTTGTGGGTTTTTAATATCTTTATTGTTTTTATAACAGGCATTTCACTGTCGACATGGGAAGGCTTATCTATTTGACAAGGTGTAAGTGTTCTTATTTTATGTTTTAACCTTTTTGGCTCTAAATAAAATGTAGTTTTCATACATAGATTTAGAAAACAGTGACATGTCATCATTTTGATGTTTTTTTTCCCAGTGTGAATGTGACTGTTGGAGAGAAAGAAGAGAGGATGATGATAACTGGAATGCATACGGTTGTTGATATATTCTGTGTTCGTTGTGGTTCCATTGTTGGCTGGAAATATGTGAGATTTATTTACGTTTACACCCCTCTTCTTTTTTCAAATAAACATTAAGTGATTCTTTTTGTTTGCATTAATTTCAGGAGTCAGCACATGAAAAGGGACAAAAGTACAAAGAAGGGAAGTTTATTCTTGAGAGGTATGAAATGTGAATTAGAGAAAGAGTGTTTGGTGTAAGAATAAAAATGGTGGTTTGACTTTTTGACTTTTTGAGCAGGTTTAAGGTATTGGGTCCAGATGGGAGCATGTATGTATTGGGGCAGGAGGTTCAGGTGGGTGGAAGTGATGATGCAGATGATGCATGAATGTGATTCGCTCTTCCTTCTTATTCTGTACAGTTCTTAACTGTTATAGCCCTTTTAATTTCTAGGATATGCTTTTAGTGGAAGTCATATATATATATATATATATATATATATATATAGAGAGAGAGAGAGAGAGAGAGCGAGAGAGAGAGAGATACATAATATATTATATTAAGTCGATCATTTTGCCTATTTTTTGCCATTTCCAAATGTGGAAATCAGAGACGTGTCAATCTTCTTGTATGGAAATATTAAGGGAAAGGCAAATTGCAAATTTATGAATATTGACATGTCAACACCTTTGCATGCATGGTTGTGTGGAAGTTTATCACCATGCATATCATTATCTTTACATTTATGTGTTTATGGTTATTTAAGCCATTTATGGCCATGTTTTTTCATGTTCAGAAGTAGTAGAACACAATACAATGTTAGTTGTGTGTTTGTGGTATTCATTCCAAAAGAACCTTGTCATGTAACATTCTCGTTGTGTATAAGAAGTTGTGATTCCATTCTCAAGTTAACAAATTGGTATCAGAGCCAAACTCATAGTTGACTTCAAGTAGTTATCAGTGTCATGAAACTCAACCATCAAAATTACAATATGTTAGTAGCATGTATCATGTCGTACTTATAGGGGTGAGATCTGTGAGAAGTGCTTAATCGTGTTGAGACAAGACAAAAATGGAAGATAAAAGCAAGCAAGACAATGTTAATTCTAAGTACGACAATGGATGAAGACGTGTTGGAGCACATCAGAGACGTTGTGACTCTAGAGGAAGCATAAGACACGTTGCTTGTGTTGTTCTTAAAGAAAAACGATACAAAGCTACAACTTCTCATAAATAGACTTCTTTCGGTGGCCGAATGTAACATGATATACCCCAATGTTTCCTTATACGGAGTTAAGTCTATATGTAGAGAGATCTCATAGCTTGATCCTAAGGACAAATTAGGGAACCAAGAATGAAATAGATAATAATTCATGTTTTAAAACCTGGATTTAAAAGTTTCATGATAGCAATACAAGGATGTTTTACCCAACCGCATAGTTGTTAAGATCCCGATTTAGGTCTTAAGATCTTACGATTTTAAGATCCTACAAACCAAAAACGATCATGGTCTCATTAGAATCTATCCGAAGCAAGATCTATAGTGAGATCCTAGGATTCTGATTAGGATCTTAACATCCTAACACGATCTGATCTCACCTCTTTAGTTTTATTATATAGTTAAACCTCAAAAGTAATCTATTCAACTTGAAATCAAGCATTGCAAGTTGCAAGAAGCTTCATAGAGCATCTTCACTTCATCTCGAGTTAGGCAGATTACACTCATGATATTCAATTTGTGATTTTAAGCCTTTAGTTGTAGATCATAATGATCGTGTGTTTTTTTTTTCTAATTAAGATGTTTTCTTCCTATTTTTTATAGTTTGCAGCAATATGTTTAAAAAGATAGAGTAGACTCCATATTGACATCTGACATCAAATTATAATGTATACTCTACACCCAAGACCTTACGAGCAAAATTTAATATAAGTTCATTTTGGTAAGATCTTCCGATCCTGATCCAATCTTATGATTACGATCTTGAAAAACATAAAACGTTGTTGGGTAAGAATCTGATCTTGAAAACCTTGAGTCTCAGCCATCTCTTGTTGAGTTTGAGAACCTGCCTAGAGGACCAAGAAGCACCGGCTTTTATTACATACCAAGAATAAAAGGAACATACGCTCTTAGTGTTGCAAATGACTAGTCTGGAATTATGTTATGTTTAACCAGAATGACACATTCTTATGTCTTTGTTCTAATGAAGAATTCATCGATCAAATGTATGAGGTATCACGTTTATTGACGATTTCTCACACTATGTATGGGTATACTTCATGAAAGAAAAGTCATAAGCCTTCACAAAATTCAAGGAATTCAAATGTGAAGCAGAAAGTTTGACCAAACAAAGTGTTTGTTGTTTACGATCATAGAGAGTATCTTACTTTGGAGTTAGTTAAAGGCTCACAAGATTAGAAGACAATTGACATGCCCAAACACCCCATAGCAAAATGGAATCTCAAAGAGGAAAAGTCGACACATGGTAGAAATATTTGGTTGTTGCATGATCCATGATAAAACAATACATATGAAACAATTTATCAAAAACTACTTATTTAGTATGCTTTTTATGAATAAATTGTTGCATTCTACATGGATGATATTCTAATCTACAAGAACAAAATCTTCCATTATAAAAATAAATCTTGTACAATTATCAAATAATGGAATATGAAACCACCAACCGGTCCCACAGACAACTCATCTATCAAAAGTATCCACACCACATCTGAGAGAATCAACAAATTATCCAATTTACAACCACATTTAATGCTCATAATCAACAAATTCAATTTTTTCTTTTATTTATTTTTATAATTAAGGTGAAATAGATAATGTACCTCATAAAATTATGTTCCACTATCCTTATCTTGATCAAAGTCCAACATGAAATCAGTCAAGTTTTCAGAATCAGCAATCGCTTCCTCCAATGTCATCTTACCTTTCCCTTTTGTAGGTTTTGGCTACACAATAAAATGTGGAAATCAGAGTTTTTTAAATATATAAAATTGTAAGGAAAATTCAAAATATAAATTAAAAAGATTACCTTTGATTTGCGAAGCTCGGGAGTAGTTTTCAATACACTCCAATTGCGTGTAATATTTTCATCATCCTCAAATTTTCCCTCATCATCACTATCCTATTAAAAGGAAATACATAATAATTATTATTCTTATAAATTATAATAATAATTATATTTACAATTATAACAATAAAAAGTAAAAACACTCATAGAACAATAAATGAATAAACTACCTCCTTTTCACCAATGTCAACAGCTTTAGCCATAGCTTCATCATCAGAAACCGGTGATTTTACCTTTTTACACAAGTGAAATGAATCATTGAAAATAATTCATTTAAGAAAAATAATAATAATAATAATAATAATGGAAGCTTATTTATTAGTTTTTAGTTATTACCTTTACTTTTTCAACCTTCTCTGAGGCCAATATTTTATCAATTTCCTCCTTTGATGTTATATTCCCATTCTAATCAATAATACAAAAGTATACAAAAGTAACTATTAGCTTAATAAATGACAAATTATACACGGAAGATTTTTTATATAATTTAAAAAAAAAAAAAAAAAAGTGAAGTATACTAACCTCTTGCAAATAAGCTAAAATATTAGGTGTAGGTTCATGAAAATCAGGACCTCTGAAATCAATCACTTGATCTGGATCTTGGATATAATTCACTGTTGGATAAACCGGATCTCCACCCCATACTACAAAACCAAAGGCAAATATGTCAAAAGTTTAATTATGCATTAACTTAATAATTGAAAAAACTTACTTTGCTTAATTTGATCTTCTCTCATCCTCATAGCCAATGGATCTCTTGAAATCCGATGATCAGTTCCCATCATTATGCGATATTCAGCAGCTGTTTGACATGAAAACATTTCTATGAGCTGTGTGTTTTCATCTTCTCCAGTTTCTTCAAAATGTTTTTCAACAGCTTCACGTGATGTGTCCTTTTTCCATGCTTTTACCCATTCTGAATAGTATGCTAATGGACCTTCTTTCTGCAATCTCTCACGTTCAGCCTGCAGCCTACACCATTCATTGGAATGGAATCAGTGATTACATTCCATGATTCAAGAAGAATTCAATTAAGATTTATACCTTTCTTCTTTATATAAATGTTTCCTAGCTCTATAAAGAGCAGTTTCAGTCAAAGTTGGCTCTTCACCAAAAAGCTTAATTTGACCAGTTTCAGCCATGGCCTTGAGAAACACCTGAAGTCAAACAACAAGGGTATATAACTATATAAGTAATTTCACAATAATTTCAAGGGTATATGAGTAATTTTACTAACTGTTTCAGCGTCAGGTCGTTTCTTCTGCCACCTGGACCATTGTTCTTTATCTGGTTTTCTCCAATTCCACCATAACTCTTCACTTGTAAGAGGCTCCTTAATTGGTTTTCTCTTTTGAGGATCAATAAAAGGGTGAGGGTTTCCAATCTTCTTGTCAAGTTCATATCCACTTAATTTCTCCATTTCAGATTCCTTTTGATACACCACAAAGTCAGAAAAATCGTCTTTTGATTCTTCAAATCCTTCATTCAAATCTAGATCTAAATCTTCACTCAAATCATCTTCTTGATCTAAAACTGTATTTGTTTCAGTGGAATTGGAAGCAGGAGTTGTTGAGGATTTGTTGTACATTTTCATTTTCCTTCTGCTTCCTGGATTTTGACCATAAGATGGAGCTACAGATGATGTGTCAGTGGGCCCAGGGGCACCGGCTGCCCGGGCTTGACCGACTGTGCCCTCTGGTAAATAATCCTGCCCGAGGATACTTGCCCGGGCACCTGAAGCTGGCTCAACCTGACCGGATATCGAGTCTTTGTAACTATGATATGGGGCCCTCTCAACAGATAGTTTCTCAAAAGATGGTTTCTCTTTCTCATCATCTGTTTTTTCACACTTTACACAAGGAAATAATGGAGCCCTTTTAGTGGTGTTCAATCTGAGTTTTGAATGCCATAGTGAAGATGGAAATGAACCTGCAAGAGATGTCTGTAGAATTCACAGATTTTTAATGAGCTTCTTTGAGGTTTAGTAGAATGTCAACTGTAATGAAACAGGTGTCTTTCAGAATGTGTTCTTTGTAGGTTTACACATAAAAGTTCAAAGTAAATCTACTTAAAGAACACTCAAGTGTTTGATGAAGAAAGAAACTCCACTTCTTTATGGGTAACAAACTAATTTCACAAGTTTTATGGTGTGTGAATCCAATAAATCGAAGTGACTTTTACCCAATCTGATTATTGGGACTTCAAATTGGTGTATCAATTTGAACAAATATACAATTAGAGTGTTTATTTCAGTCGATTTGCTAAGAGTCCCTTCAAAACTCGAACAAATCTTAATAATTCGAAACAGAGCTATAAAATAGTTTAACCTAACCTGAAATAACAGCGGAGTTTTGTTGGTTACACAGCCACATCCAGAAATCATAGTT